TCAGATTGAGGAAGATCTGCTGCTTCTTTGTCCAAAATGCTCTGCTGTGTCTCAACTTGTTGCGTTTCACTGACCGGCTCACTTTGAGCTTGTTGCTCAGAGTTTGAGATCCCTTTGTCAGATTGCAGATGATCTTCTGCTTTCTCACAATTACTCTGCTGAGGCTCAACAGTTGGGACTTCACTTATGATTTTGCTCTGTATTTGTTGAGAATCAGATTTTTCTGCTTCAGAAGTTAGCTGCTCTTGTGGAACTGGTGGGACTGTACTCTCAGCTACAGGTTCTGAATTTGGATGTTTTTCTTTAGGATGTTCTACATCATTAGAGACATTTTCATTTAATTGGGACTGTGTTTGTTCCTCTAACTGTGGTGTTTCTTGTAGCATATTCTCAGGAGGAGGGGAACTGAGTTTGGGTGAAATTGGAGCACTAGAAGGTGTGGTTTGAGGCTCTACCTTAGTCTCGGAAACTGGTAGGTTTGGATCTTCTACTACGGGTTTGCTATCTACAGCAACAGGGATGGGGGTGGGTGAGGGGTCAGGAGCAGAGGATGTTTGCTTCTTTGGTGAAGCCATGGATGTTGATGGAACATCTCCCAGCTGGCCTGACATGGCTCTTCCAGTCTGACAGTTCAGGCACAGCCATTCTTTCTGCAAGACAAACACCAGAACAAAAAGTTAGAATTTACTCTATGTTTACAAACAAAATAAATATGTTTCCTGCCATCAAATAAAAAAATAATATGACTCATGTAGAGTCATCTCAGCTGTCTTTGTGAAGAGAGGCAAAGATATGTAATCACCTCACCACCATGCAGCCGCTCATAAATGGTAATGATGATTTTCATTACATGATTATTTCGGCCAAAGACCGACAAAGACTGACAATATAGAATCAGGTTTTAATCATCACTAATCAGCCCAAAACATCATCATGCATATTATCACCATGTTAACTAATTGTTAATTCTACCACAGTATAGTTAACATTGTGAAAGTATGACTTCTGAAAATTCAAGGTTAGCTTTGACATTTGTTGAACTGAAAATAGGCCTATGAATAGTGCATGGCAGTGCAAAAGAAATTTGAAAGAAAGTGGCTTTCACGAAGGAGATTCTTTATGTTTGCACCTTTGTATTTATCTGACTTTATGACACATGAGAATGCAGACACACACCATGTACATATGGTTTATAGTTCATATATCAACATAATGTTTATACAATTGATAAATGTAATGAAAAAACAGACTCTTGCATAAGCCTGTATTGTAAGTTCCTTTCTGAACACCCTTTTCTCACCAGTTCCTATTATATCTATGTTCTAATGAAACCCAGCCAGGCAGCCAGGCCAGTTCAAATTAAATCATCTTTGCTGTTACTCTTAAGTACAATAATTGGCCCAAAATACCTCCTGCAATGAACTGGAATGCAATTTCTGGTAAAAGCTAGCACTGCACCTAGAATTGCTATTGGTATTATATTGTTTTTGTTTATTCCTAAATATTTAAAAAGAGAACTGTAGATGAGGATGTTTTGTTAATCAAAAACCCCTCAGGAATTTATAATGCAAGGACTGCAGCTATTGAAAGTGTGTAATATTCCATGCTGCTTTGCTTTAAGCTCTCTCTCTCTGTATATATATATATATACTTGTTATAAGCCAAAATGGAAACCTGACTATATATAAACAAACACCTCACATCACATTTCAACAAGTGTGCTAACATTCCCCCGTGACCCCTCTCTTATTTCCCCATGGTTAACAACAGGGTTTATTCTAATTTAAAGCTTGAGGGAGACTATGTGCTAAATCATGCAGCCTTTCTCCAAGCACAGAGAAAAAGAGAAAGACAGAACAAGAATAGAGAGGGTTGGAAGAGCATGAGAGAGGAAATGTTGCGGTGGGACAGTAAGATCAAATAAAGCATGAACCATCGTGCTTAGTCCACGCCTGAACTGCATCAATCTTACTTTATATGAGGAATGGCACACCTGCACACACCTCTCCCATAATCAGTTGTGAAAAGGCCAAAAAGTGTTGAAAGATGATTATGTAGGCAGCACATATATAGGGAAATCTTAGTGTGTTAGCTTGTGTGTGTGCCAATCCTTCTATCAGTCCACACTGGAAGGGCTTGAAATGGGAGTTTCTTCAGCTTGGCAAATATATAAATATAACCAGAAGGCACTGGCACTGAAAGCTGGAGAGATGGCTGCAGATAGCAAATGCTGAAAACCATTTCAGTCAGACTGTTGGTCAGCCTCAGCCACTTAAGAGCCTGTCATCGCAAACATTATCAGGGAATCGGAAAAGGGATGCTTAAAGCATTTCCTGCCCAAATACACTATGTCAGTGGTTTTTCTTGTGTTTAGTCACATTTTGCAGTTTCTGTAAATAGCTCTGTTATTATTCCAATAAAGCTACAGGGTGGTGTGGGGTTTAGCACCTCTGCCTCACAGCATGAGGATTCCTGGGTTGAGTCCCTGTTGGGAGCCGTTCTGCACAAAGTTAGCGTGTTCTCCCTGTGAATGTGTGGTTGTGAAACAGCTGAACAATGCCACACCCAGCAGCAGGACCACACCCATCCCGAATTGAAATAATTTAATCAAACAAAACAAATGAAATGCACAATAATGGTTCAATATAACAAAATATATGTTTTTTTCTTTTTTCTTATTTGTTGGAAATGTTTGCTTATATTTTTATCTCTAAATAGTTAAAAGGGTAATTTTGGTTAAAGGTGCTGATACATGAGAGAAAAATCTCAATAAGATTCAGGGTGAATACTTCAAACGTTTCCATCTTAATCAGAGATTCCTTCAAAGGTCACAGTGGGAAGACAATCTAAAAACCACTGACAGGAACCAGATATTGGGATGAGATGGGCCTTACTCTTGTTAGGTTAATGTTCCCAACAGGGAGTGGGTTTATTGTGAAGGTCAGAGTATCTGTGTGATTGAGAGAAGCGATCCTGTGAAGGATTTAAACAAAGCCAAATAAAGAGTGTGGGAATCCATTGTTATACCCCTCAACCGTGCCTCTGTTTTTCATACATTCTTCTATATATATATTTTTGTATAAATGATGTAGTATAAAGAACAAAATGAGCGATGAGTGAGCTGAATATGTGCAAGACGAATAGAAAAAAGAGAACAGTAAATGAACAAAACTAAAGGCAGTATGGGAAAGGGAGCATCATTTTGTGACTTAAATGGTGAAGCAGTTAAGGAGTTTAATGGTCATTGGGAATGTCCTAACACCAGATACTGCCAACAAGCTTAACATTATCACCCTGTAAATCTGCAAATCAATTGCCAGGAAGTCAGGGTGAGCTGCAATTTACAGTGACTTCAAAGAGTGACCTTAAGATCTTACAGCACAGATTGAGATTGTGGTTGACGTCATTTACACTTACAATGATGAGGAAAGTTCTGCTACCGCTTACTTTGATGAGATTTAGTTTTTGTTCAGTCATAATATAGCTAATTTTTGTTTATCTTTGAACTTTAGTCAGATATGAAGACTGGTATACCTCTCAGGGTGACCATCTCTGGGCCCATGTCTGTTATGTTAACATCAGTAAAGATCAGCTTAGCAATTTCTGCATTGGTAGCTTTAATGCTCATCATACCATTTGAAGGAGATATATCATGGGATATCCACCCCTGTACTTGAGAGCATAGACTTTAGATTTAGCTGTTGTTACTGAATGTATAATCAGTACTTATAGCAGCCATTTCGGTGAAATTTTGGCCATATAAACTTCTCCTATTGTTAGTTGCTGGAAAAGTAGCACACAGAGGAATGAAGTGAGAGAGTGACAGAGAAACTGACGTAAGAGGGAAGAATTACTGCATCGGGTCCCTGTGCTATGTTTAACAAGCCAGTCGCCATCATGTCCTGAAGTGGGTGTTAAAAAACTTTGGCCTGTTAAACACATGACTCATGATGAGACTGCGCCTAAAAAGAGGGACCACTCCTCTACCATATTCAACTTCCAGGAAATTAATGAGGGAAATAACATCTGCTGTGATGTTATTGTAAGATATGTTGACCATAGAATTTTGCAGACATTATAACTGAGACCTCAAAAAAATAATGTAAGTTAGTGTAAAATGAGCATAACATATTTTTATAGGACAAAAAATGGTAAACATTTGGATACACTCATATTTACACCAAACATGCTGTAAATATCAGTAGTTTGAGAGCCAAACACTCCCTTTGCCATGATGCAGAGACCACTCAAGTCACCTTTCAGTACTGAAGCTTTCGCCGAATTAGAGTATGCGGGTTGCTGTCCTTCTCATTCATCAATGCCCGACTTAATTACACCGCACTGGACTGCCAGCTTAACACCACAGCATCAGCTTCTTTTCAAGCCAAAAAAGATCTTTCTTTTAACAAATGCACCCAATGCTACCATGCCAGGTTGATTTATCCTTATTATTCCCTTGATTCTTAAGACCTGTAATCTAATGACATTTGTAGTATTGCCAAAAAAGATATAATAAAAGGGGGGTGTAGGTAAATAATTCAATGCTGTCTGTGAAAGGCCTTCGTAAAATAAAATCCTTTGATCTGACAGATATGTGATAACTATAACTCTTATCAGACTGTCTGAAAAAAAATGGTTGAAAATCAAAAGCTGGAAAAGACAGGTCTGAAGTGGGCCATAGGTGAGCCTGCCCTAGGAATAATCCCATTTAAATTCACATCTTCTACATAACAGAAATCCTCAGTTTCATGGAACTGAAGAGTCAACTTATTAACACTAGCATGCATGACCAAGATGTTCTTTTACAGGATATGGAGATGCCATTCTAAATGTCTAATGCTTTCAGCACAAAAGTATTCCATGGACACATTTGACACCAAATGGATCACAGAATATAGTCCTCTTTCTCAAATTGGAATGCTGTTACACTGCTATTGTGCCGGTTAAATTGCCGGTTTTCTTGCTTAAACAGAACGAAGCAAATGAGACTGATTATTTCTTAACTAATAATTTTAACCACAAAAAACGTAACATCTGTCACAATGTTCCCACTGTTTCAAATAAGACTTCTAGATATGTAATTCATTCAGTCATGCAGGATCCAGAATACAAGTTAAAATAAACTACCGCAACTACACTGGTAAAACAAATCCTGATGAAACGTTCTAATCAGAACTGTCCTCTTAATTTAACCTAATAATGCATCTTTCCAGTTTAACCAAGATCTACATCATGTACCTTTCCAACTTAAGGATCATGATTTGGAATCTGACAAATGAAAAGAAAAAAGGATTCAGAATGAACATAAGTGCAGAGTAGCTGTTTCCATACACATTTTTAACGTGTCACAATGCTGTCGATGTAATTCATAAGAATGCATCACAATTGCTTAAAGAAACCACAATAGTCAGGTTGTCATGGACTGCAATGCTTAAGGGTCCATAGGGTATCACCCGTATCCTTTGTGACATCACCCTCCTCCTCCCCCTCCATCCTCTATTGGACACCCTTTTCTGTCAGAGTAGTTTTTCATCTTCTCTCCCTACTCTTTCAGTCCTGTCTCTCCCCCACACCACTCTGAAATGTAACTGGCCTCTGTCTCTATTAATCATTTAATGCCTTTTTCTTGTTTTTTCCCTTCCCATCACCC